ACACGAATGGCGCGAGTCGGTCGGCCTGCTTCCCCGGTCGCTGGCCACCGAGTCCCTCCCTCCCCTTCAGCTGCTACCCACCAGGCGAGGCGGTTCAAATTCCTCGGCTAATCCGGCCCCTCCGCTGATACCTGCGCAACTTTCTCCCACCGACCAGCCCGCCACCGGTCCGTCGGACGCCGCTGCGGCGCCGGACATCGAGGCGCAGCCGCCCTTGACCCCGGGACCGGCGCCGCAAGGAATCGAACCCCAGGAATCCTCGTCTCCTCCCGCCGCCGGATGCTACGCGCCAGCGTCCGCGAATTCGGCGCCGGCTGCTCCCGAGCTGACCTCAATCGCTCTACTAACATTTCCCGCCGGCTTGTTGGGCCTCATCGCGGTGCGCCGACGCCGCAGATAATTTCTCCCACCCCGCCACCGCTGATCTGGCGCACATCGTTTGACACGGCAACTCTCCCCCATTACATTCCAACTCCCCGCTAGCCGTGGCGAAACTGCCAGAAACACCCGAGGAGGACCGTAATGCGAGCTGTTTGGTACGAACAAAACGGAGACGCCACCGTGTTGCAGGTTGGTGAAATGCCCGACCCTGTTCCAGGACCCGGAGAAGTTCGCGTGCGCGTGCACGCTTCGGGCGTCAACCCGTCCGACTGGAAACGGCGTCAAGGCACCACCGCGCGCATCAACTTTCCGCGCATCATACCCAACCAGGACGGCAGCGGGATCATCGACCAGGTGGGTCCCGGAGTACCGTCCAGCCGCATCGGCGAACGTGTCTGGCTGTACCAGTCTCAGATCGGACGCCCCTTCGGCACCGCCGCCGAATACACGGTTCAGCCGGCGATCCGGGCGGTCCCTTTACCCAATAACGCTGATTTCGCGCTTGCCGCCGGGTTGGGCGTGCCGGCCATGACCGCCCACCGTTGTGTGTTCGCAGACGGCCCGGTGGAGGGTAAAACCGTGCTGGTCCCCGGCGGCGCGGGAGCCGTGGGTAACATGGCGATCCAATTGGCCCGGCTGGGTGGCGCCGGAACCATCATCAGCACCGTGAGCGGAGACGCCAAAGGCGATATTGCCCGCAAGGCCGGCGCCGACCACACCGTCAATTATCGTTCCGAAGACACCGCCGCCCGCATCCTGGAACTCACCGACGGCAACGGCGTAGACCTTATCGTTGAGGTCGATTTTTCCGGCAACTTCGCCGTTAGCCAGCGGATCATCGGTCGCGGCGGCAGCATCTCGATTTACGCCGCCGGCAACGGTCTAGCCCCTGCATTCGACTTCCCCGTCAGCAACGTCAATGTCCGTCACGTACTGGTGTACGACATGTCGGAACCCGCCAAGACCGCCGCCGTAAATGACGTTAACCGTTGGGTCGCTGAGGGCAGCCTGGTCGGCATGGACGGGCCGCATTTCCCGCTGGATGACACGGCCGGGGCCCATGAGGCAGTGCGCGCCGCCGCCGTTGGCAAGGTAGTCATCGACGTTCGCCACGACTAATCGCGCCCCGTCGCAATCGGCGCCCGGTCTTACTGGGCCGTCGTGCCGCCGTCGATGACCAGCTCCGCGCCGGTGATGAAAGAAGATTCGTCGGAGGCGAGAAACACTATCCCATAGGCAATGTCGTCGGCGTTGCCCACGCGCCCGACCGGGATACGTCCCTGGATCCAGTCAAAGTACCGTTCGTTCTGGTAACTACCGTCCGTTAGCGGGGTACGGCAGTAGCCGGGGTGAATCGAATTGATTCGGATATTGTCTCCCGCGTACTGCAGCGCCGCCGATTTGGTAAACAGCCGGATGGCCCCCTTCGCCGCGTGGTAGGCGGTGGACGTGGGGCTGCCTACTATTCCGTAAATCGAAGAAATATTCACTATCGACCCGTTGCCTGCTTTCAGCATCTCGGGAATGGCATGTTTGGTGCCCAGTAACGTGCCCTTGGCGTGAACGTCCATCTGTCCGTCCCACACCGCTTCCGTCGTTTCCTCAACTGTGTAACGCGCCCCGGTGCCCGCATTGTTGACCAGCACGTCCAGCTTGCCATGCGCCGCAATCGCGGCGGCCACCGCATCGACCCAGTCCTGCTCGTTGGTTACGTCCAGTTTCACGAACGTGGCATTGCCGCCTTCCGCCCTGATCTGTGCCGCCGTGCGTTCGCCACCATCGGTATTGATGTCGCCCAGCACAACGCTGGCGCCTTCCCGACAGAACATCCGCGCTGCCGCCCCACCGAAATCCCATCAGTTCGCCCTCGACGCCGCTGGCCGCCCCGCTGATCAACGCAACCTTGCCCTCCAACCGCATAGTGCAACCTCCCGCCGTGGATATAACGTATTACCCGTTTTCGTAGGCGGCATTATATCAGGCGCCGGATTTGGCGAATCCGGGAAGTCGATCCCCCATTGCCGCTGCCAGTGCCCGTACTACCTCGATACAACCGGCTGCGGAGTATTGTATCAACGGGTATAATGCTTGACTGGAGCCACGACAATATCGTGGCGCTACGGTATAGGAGGATATGCCCAATGCCCGACTACTTCACGGACGTGAATGTCTTACGCAATGGTGATTCTGCCGGCAACGGGATGGTGCTGAGTCTCACCGACCAGAACGGGCGACGAATCCACACCGTGGCCGTTCCCCAGGAAGGCCATTCTCACACCGGCCCAACCTGGGCCTACATCTTTGAAAACGACGGCCTTACCCTCATCGATCCGGGCGCTGCTGCCTCCTTCGATCTGTTGCAATCTGGCATGGCCCTGTTCGGCGCCAGTGCCGCCGACATCCAGAGGGTCATTATCACCCACGGCCACGCCGACCACGATGGTGGAGTGGCGCTCGTCGTGGAAGCCTCGGGCGCCGAGTTCTGGGCCCACGATATCTATCAGCCGCTGTTGCCCTTCGATCCCCGCGACCTGCAGCTGTTGCCCACCTCTCGCATCAAAGAAGCGATGTGGGAAACCGCCCGCGCTAACGGATTCATCCCATCCGATTCCGAAGAGCGCGACCGCTACATGGCCTCGCGCAAGACCCACCAGGTAGGCCATCACATCACCGCCGGCGAGCATCAGGGCGAGTTGACCTACATGCATGCGCCAGGACATTCGCCCGATGAGATCTGCGCCACCCTCGGCGGAATGGTGTTCACCGGCGACCATGTGCTGCCCGAAATCAGCCCCCACCCGACCATGAAAACCGACTACCCGGCTGAGGTCAAAGATAGCCTGCCCCTCCATTACCAGGACCCGGTTGACTCGTTCGGATTGCTCACCTACCTGCGCTCATTGCAGAAGGTGGCCGACCTTGGTCCCGAAGTGGCCGTCTTGCCCGCCCACCGGTTGTACAACAATCACCGGGTTCAACTTCCAGACGACGCAGCGCGCCGGCGACATCATCCGTTTCCATGCTCGGCGACTGGGCCGAATACTGGTAACCGCTGGCCCGGAACCGCAACCGTTGGAAGACGTTACCCGCCGCACTTTCGAACGACGCAAGCTGGAAGGCGGCAATTTCTTCGCTGCCCTCACCGAGGTCGTGGCCCACGTCGAATTGCTGGAGGACTCCGGCGACCTAGAGGTGCTGGACAATCACCGAGTCCGACGCACCGGAGAAGAAAACTATCAGGAAATCCTGCGGGCGTTGTAGCCGGCCATTCGGTCCTACGGGATGGATTTGCCCAGGTATCATCGGGATGGATACAGCAGCATTCATCCGCAGGTAGATCGTTCAACCAATTTGCCTAACTTGTTCTGACGCACCCTTGTCCGGCGCCGTTTAGCGCCTGGCAACCTAACCGGGAGGTTTCCGCTATGTCTCTTGATGGTAAGGTCGCACTGGTCACCGGCGCCGGACGCGGCATGGGACGAGCCACCGCTCTGGCCCTGGCCGCCGATGGAGCCGACGTCGCAGTCACCGACATCATGGCCGACAACGTTGAAGAAACCGCTACCGACGTGCGGGCCTCCGGTCGCAACAGCCTGGCCATCGTCGCCGACATCGGTGACGGCAACGACATCGACCGCGTCATCGCTGATACCGTCAGCGCCCTCGGTCATATCGACATCCTGGTCAACAACGCCGGCGTAACCCGTTTCCTCGACATCATGGATATTACCGAAGCGGACTGGGATCGCATCCATCGCGTCAACGCCCGCGGCGCGTTCTTCGTCATGCAGAGAACCGCCCGCCAGATGATAGAGCAGGGCAGCGGCGGGAAAATCGTTAACATCGCCTCCATCGCCGGCAAGGGTTACCGCGGTACGTCCAACGCCGCCTACGCCGCCAGCAAGGGCGCTGTAATCTCCATGACACTGATCGCCGCCCATCAATTGGCTCGCCACGACATCAACGTCAACGCCATCTGCCCCGGCTCCACCATAACGGCAATGTCCACCAGCACCATGGAACAGCGGGCCGCCGAGGCCGGCATTTCCGTAGCAGAGCTGCAGGCGCAACGGGCTACCAATATTCCCATAGGCCGGGCCAACGAACCCGAGGATATCGCCGCGATGGCAGCATTCCTGGCCAGCCCGGGGGCGCGCAACATCACCGGCCAGACCATCAACGTCGATGGCGGCCTCGTAATGCACTAACCCCGCATCCCAGCCTCCGCTCATCCTGAGCCCGCCTGTCATTGCGAGGAGCATAGCGACGTCGCAATCTCGATGAGGTTGAATACACGCCGGCGAACCGCCGTTGCTACGGCGACGAGATTGCCACGCTACGCTCGCAATGACAAAGTGCGTACGCTTGAGCAACATCCCATGATTGTCTTACCCACTAATTATGATCTCCATACCGGGTCTCGCAGCACATGGCCAGCGCCAGGCATAACCGCCCCTTGCGGCATATCGGCTCCCTGTATATGATGGCCCTGTTAATCAAGGCCCCGGCTCCACTGGCGCCCGCGTGAAACTTATTGGTTAGCGGCTGGTGGACGGCGAATTCACAAGGAGCACAGCGAATATGAAATACGACTACATAGTGATCGGGGCTGGCTCAGCCGGTTCCATCATCGCGAGTCGGCTAACCGAAGACCATAGTAAGCATGTCTTGCTGGTCGAGGCCGGTCCCGACTATCCAGAGTTCGAAAACCTCCCCGAAGAGGTGAAGTTCGGTTACAACACCGAGATCGATATAATGGTCAGCGACCACAACTGGCAGTTCGTTGGCAAGGGAACCGATACGTCTCCCGAGATGATGGTTCCTCGCGGCAAGGTCACCGGAGGGTCCAGCGCCATCAACGGCCAGGTGTTCCTGCGCGGCGTGCCCGAAGACTACGATGGGTGGGCCGCGGCCGGCAATGACGAATGGGGATACACCAAGTTGCTGCCCATCTTTCGCCGGATCGAAACCGACACCGACTACGGCAATGACGACTTCCACGGCGGCGACGGTCCCATCGTGATGCACCGCTTCGCCCGCGAGACCTGGCTACCCGCCCAGAACGCCTTTAGCGCGGCCTGCGTTGCCGCCGGATTCCCCGAAACCTGGGACCACAACCACCCCGACTCCTACGGCGTCGGACCCACTCCGTTCAACAACCCGAACGGTATCCGTATGAGCACCAACCTGGGCTATCTTTCCGAATCGCGACACCGCCTCAACCTTACCATCAAGGCCAACTGCCACGTCCACCGTATCCTGTTCGACGGCAACAAGGCCACCGGGGTGCAGTTGGAGTCCGGTGGAGAAACATTCGTTGCCGAGGCAGACCAGATCGTCCTCAGCAGCGGGGCGATCGGATCCCCCCACATCCTGATGCTCTCCGGCATCGGCCCGGCCGCCCACTTGCGTCAGGTCGGCATTCCCGTTATCCAGGATGCGCCCGGCGTTGGTCAGAACCTCCGCGACCATCCAACTGTCTGGTGCACGTGGCGCACCAAACCCGATTTCGAACTCGACGGCTTTGCGCCGCGATCCCAGTTATCCCTCCGCTATACCGCCGAGGGCTCACCCCTGCGTAATGACATGAAAATCAGCATGCAGTCCTTCGCCACCGAGCGCATCAACCGCGGCGGCAATCGCATGGAGCCCCTGGGCGTTCGCATGACTACCGGCATCCAGCTGGCAGCGGGCGCTGGTCACATGGAATTGCAGTCCTCCGACCCGTATCAGCAGCCTTTCCTGGACTACAACTACCTCAGCGAAGAATCAGACCGGGTTCGCCTCCGCGACTCAGTTCGCCTGTGCCTGCAACTGGCCGATCATCCCGAGTTCCAGGCCATGATCCAGGAACGAACCGAGCCACCCGCCGACGCTGTCGTCAGCGATGAAGCTCTCGATGCCTGGATTGCTCGCGAAGTCACCACCTCGCAGCACATCTCCGGCACTTGCAAAATGGGTCCGGACAACGACCGCATGGCCGTGGTCGACCAGTTCGGCAAGGTCAAGGGCATCGAAAACCTTAGGGTCGCCGACGCCAGCATCATGCCCAATTGCATCCGCGCCAACACCAACGTTTCTTCCATGACCATCGGCGAGAGGGTCGCCGAATTCATCATCGAAGGCCGTTAGCATCTTAATCGTTGTCTAACCAGCCGGATTGGATTGCCACTGCCTTTCCTCCACGGGGGAGAGGCAGTTTGCAATAGCTGTTCAGGAGACGCCGATGCCTCCCTCTCGAAAATGGACGCGCCTGGAAGAACTGGCGGTGCTGCACCTCTATCGCGGCAAGGTAGTGCCCGACAGCCGGGAAGCAGTGGCCCTGGCCCAGGCTGTCGAACGCAGCCCCAAATCCATCGGGGCGCGGATGTTGGCCTTGTCCCAGCTTGACCCCAACAACCCCAAGGTCACGGCCATCAAACCCACCGCTCTCACCCGTTCGGTCTGGGCCGAGTACATCGCCGACCGCACCGCCATCGCCACCGAAGGCCAACGCGCCTACCTCGGAATCCTCAATCGCTATGCCATGGGCAGACCCTGAGGTCGCCGGCGGCGTATTCTAACTGAGGAACCCCTGCATCTTCTCGATGATGATCGCCGGTTGTTCCTCTGGCGGATAGTGGCCGCAATCTGCAACGGGTTCCCCCGAACATCGGTGCACCACTCCCGCCAAACGTCCATCACCCACTCGCCGCCCCGGCCGCCCAGACTCCAGTGTTGGCCCTACAGGTCCAAAGTCGGGGCGGTAATTTTCCTGCCCGCTGCCATATCTTCCAGATCCCTGGGACTGTCAACCGCCGCACCCGCCCGGTCATCCTCCAGGCAACTGCAAATGGTACCCGGCAACGAGAACACCCGCACGTATTCGTCCACCGCCTCGGGCTCGATCGCCGCCGGGTTGTAGGCCGCGTTCCTGAACGACCACGCCAGGTACTCCGGGATGTTGCTACTCAACCACATTTCAGGCAGGTCGGCCAACTGGAAAAAGAACCAGCGCCAGTTGCGGCGCGCCGTCGTGGCGTCGACATTCGCGAACATCACGCCCGTGGGCACAATGTCCATTAATATCAACTGCTCTACCGCTTCCGGATGATCCAGCGCCAACCGGTAAGACACACGCGCTCCCCGGTCGTATCCGGCCAATCGAAACCGCTTATGTCCCAGCGCACTCATCAACCCCACTAGGTCCGAGGCAATCGTGCGCTTGTCGAACCCGTCAGCCGGCTTGTCCGGATCCCCGTAACCACGCAGGTCTGGTGCGAACACGGTGTACCGCTCCGCCAGCGCTGGCAACACCTTGCGCCACAAGTGGCCGCTTTGGGATATCCGTGCAGCAGCACCAACGGCGGGCCGCTACCTTCTGTCCGGTAGTGAATCCGCATGCCGTTCACCCGTTCAACGGCCCGATCCATACGTCAAATACCCGTTCCCGCGGGACCGCGGCGATGCAGGATCCCGCAGAGATACCAGCTACACCAGCACACCAAATCCCGACTTGGTGCAAATTTCCAGCCGGTTATGGTCTGGATCATGGAAGTAGAAAGCCTGTTGTCCGTCGTTTCTGGTTTGGATGTCGGTGCATTCCACGCCGATGTTTTGCAGTTCGTCGCGGGCCGCTGCGATGTCATCCACTTCAAAGGCGGTGTGGTGCGACGGCGCCGAAGGAGCATCCGGGTTCTCGATGATATGCACCATGGCTCCACTGGGCAGCTGCAGCCAGTACAGGTGGTCGCCGTCAACCATCTTGGGAATCTGTTTCACTCCCAGAACGTCCTGATACCACTTCAACGCTAGGTCTTTGTTCCGCACGTTGTACGTAATATGGTTGATGGCCTTCAGTCGAATATTGTCAGCATTCAGTCCCATGAAATTCCTCCTCGGGTCAGGTAGCCGTGAGTTCGTTCACCGTCTGCAATCAGCCGCTATATGCCGAGCAGACGCTCCAGATTCGCAAACAGAATAGCATCCTTTTCATCCTTCGACAGGCTCTCCAGCCCCAGCAGCCAGGCGACCGGCCAGTCCGCGCACATGTCGAAGGGCCAGTCCGTACCGAATACAACCTGCTCAATGCCCACCATATCGATCAGCATCCGCAACCCTTCCTCGCTGTGGGTGAGGCAATCGTAATAAAAACGGCTCAGGTAAGCGCTGGGCGGCTGATTGATGTTGGCGCGAGCCTCGGGACGCACCTGCCAGCCTCGATCCATGCGCCCGATTCCGTAGCATGCGTATCCGCCGCCGTGGCACAGGCAAATCTTCAGATCGGGGAATCGGTCCATCACGCCGCCGAAAACAAACGAGGCGAACGTGACGGTGCGGTCTGCCAGATTGCCGATGGTGTTGGGCAGGTGGTATCGATCCAGCCGCGGCGTAACCACCGTCCCGCCTCCCTGGTGGACCAGGAACATGGCCCCCAGTCGTTCCGCCGTCGCCCACAACGGATTGAACACCGGGTCATCGAAAGTCCGTCCGTTCACATGATCGCCGATCATGGCGCCCTTCAACCCCAGTTCCTCGACCGACCTCGTAAGCTCCTCGATAGCGGCGCCAACATCCTGCATCGGAAGATTTGCCAATCCGGCAAACCGCTCCGGATACTCGGTTACCAACTCGGCGACGTAATCGTTGCACTCCCGGTGCATCTCCAGCGCCTGCTGGGCATCCAGCTCATAAAAGTACATGTTGGCGTTGGTGGACAGCACATGCACGTCCACCCCCAAAGACATCATATCGGCGATGCGTTGCTCCGGGGTCCAAAAAGTCCTCGGATTGTACCGGTGCTGGTTGTACAGGATGGGAGCGCTCACCCCATACCAGGCGTCCCCGCTTTGCATCGCTCGCAAAGCTCCCGCTGGTGTGATGTGAGCGTGCACGTCCAGGACTCTTTCTGCCATGACTTGTAAACTCCTGTCGACCTCATCGGGACTCGGTTGAATTGCGACTCGGGTAGTTGGGCGGTTGGCCGCCTCAGCCTCGCGGAGAGTATAGACTCTTTGCAGGCATCCGTCAGCGTGAATCCCGCGCCGCCACCCGCCGCGTTACGCCACGCAAAGCTGGCCGGTGTTGACGCTGGCGCCCGGGTGAGCATAGGATTCAGACAACCGGGAATGAGGGAGAATCAAATGCGCGAAAATACAATGAAAAAGAAACTTGGAGCCGGACAACCCGTTTTCGGTTCCATGATTACTTTTCCATCGCCGCCCGTCGTCGAGATGCTGGGTTTCCTGGGCTACGACTGGGTGCTGATCGACAATGAACACGGCAGCATCACGGTGGACCTTGCCGAGGATATGATCCGCGCCGCCGAGTATTCCGGCACGGCTCCCATTGTCCGCCCCGTCGGCAACCGCCCCGAGTTGATTTGTCCCTTCCTGGATCGCGGCGCCTGGGGCGTTCAGGTGCCCCACGTCAATACCGCTGATGAGGCCCGAGCCGCGGTAACGGCCGTCAAATATTACCCCGAAGGCGAGCGGGGGCTGTTTAGCGGCGGCCGTCCGGCAGAATACGGGTTCAGTGGATCAACTCCCGATTACGTCGCCGACGCCAACCGCAACACCCTGGTATGCCTGATGCTCGAAGAAGTCGAAGCCATCGAAAACATCCCCGAGCTGGTCAAGGTGCCCGGCGTGGATGTTTACTTCATCGGCGCGGGCGACCTCTCCCAAAGCATGGGATATCCGGGGCAACAGACCCATCCCGAAGTTCAGGCCCTGGTTGAGAAGGGGGTGCAGCAGATCGCGGCGGCCGGCATAACCGCCGGATGCAGCTGCCCCGACAACCTGGTTCCCCACTACCTGGAACTGGGCGTCCGCTATTTTCACAACACGGTGGGCCGTTTGATCCAATCAGCGAGCGATGGGTACCTGAACACCATGCGCGCCGCCGCCGACGGCCTGGCGTAACATCAACCCTGCAACCAACATTTACGAAACAAGCATACCCGACAATCCAGAGGTGCTCCATGACCAGCCCTGTCGACCCCAACCAAATCTGCCTAACGGGAGAAAATTCCTTCATCAGATTGTCCCCCGAACCCGGAGGAAACCTGACGACCCGCGCCAGCCATTGGCGGGTGTTGTGGTCTCCCAGCGGGGCCGGGCATGTCCTGTTTCTCAAAAGCGATGATTTGTCCGACAATCCCGTCCGCGTTTATTCCGACAACATCGCCCTCACCCGCTACCTGCAGGATGAGATCGAATCGATGCTGTTTCCTGAATTCGCCAACACTTCGTTGCCAGTCATTGGCGCGGAATTTAGCAAGAGCGGCGACCCAGCCAATTTCTGGACCGAAACCGTGGCGGCGGCCGACGAATCGGTGGTGCTGAGCTGGTACGATTTCCTGACGCCGTTTATGCTCAACGTCCCGGCCGGCAGCGTGGAAGGGCGCCCTCACGGTGTGTACAGCTGTTTCATACCGGCTCGCGGAGCCCAACTAACCGTGGGCAGACAGGCTCTCAGCGGCGTGGTATCGCCGGAAATGCGCGGGGCGGCGCAAAGTAGTTCGGCGTGCATCGCCTGGTCGGAAACTTGGGTCAAACCATAGCAGCCCCGCGGGCAATCGGGCCGGCGGACAATGTAGTATGACTCAGAGTCGCTCTAACCCTGCCACCACGCCGTCGACATACAGTAGCTGCAGCGCCTGAATTGCCAGGTCGGCAACCGCCCGGGCCTGTTCCGATTCCAGTCGGACACACATAGACGAGATCGCATCGTCGACCGTCCTTTGCCCGTCCAGCCGCGAAACGAAACTGGCTACGATAGCGCTGCACGGCAGACCCTCCGGGTGCCCATCGGTCACCAACCCATACCCCCAAACAAACTCCCCGTCGTCCAAAACAGGTTGGCGTTGAACGCGGACTCCATCTTTCAGCCGGGGCGTCGCGGATCCCAGTCCGCCCACAGAGTTCCCCAATCGCCAATGTTGCATCGTTGCCCGGCGACTTTGCCGTCCTATCTCAACTTCCGCGATGCTGTCAGCAAACGTATCCGGAGCCAAGCCTCGGGACAACACAGCGCGCTCGTAGCCACGTGCCGGCTGCCCAGCCACCGCCTGAATGAAAGATTGCCGGGGAGTCAACGCCGGGTCATCTTCCAGCAGCCGACGTGCTTCCCAAAAATAGGAATCGGCCGAACGATTGCTGGAGTAAAAGAGCCGGGCCATTTCACGAAAATGGCTATATTCCTTGTAGTACAACTGCTGATACACCATGCCCGCCGGTTCGGCCATCGCTGAATCTTTCAGCGCCGAAACTACCATCGCTGCCGCCAGCGACGCCGACGTCAACGCCAGATGCACTCCGGAAGAAAACAGCGGGTCTATGAAGCATGCGGCATCACCCACCAAGACGTAGCCCGGCCCGCTGAGCGGATCACAGCGGTATGACCAGTCCCGCAAGACTTGCGGTTTCCCCACTAATTGCGCCGTTTCCAGCATCCGCGACGTCCGTCCCGACGCCTTGATCTGCGCCTCAAGAAACCTGCGGGCGCCAATTGCCCGGATACCCTCTTGTCCTATAGCGGAATCGACCACTGCGCCGACGCTGGACCAGCCGTCACGCAGCGGGATATTCCACAGCCAGCCGTCGGCTTGCGACTCTATGAAAATGTTGCCTTCATCCGGGGATTCCAGCCGACGACCCCCGGCAAAATATCCGTACACCGCCAGGTTCCGGAAAAAATCGTCCCACTCTCTCAATCCCAGTTGGCGGGATACCACGCCCCTCTGTCCGCTCGCGTCCACCACCCAGGCAGCAATCGTCTCAGTATCCCCCTGGGAACCATCGGCGGGTCGATGGCGCACACCGACCGCCCGGCCCGTGGAATCCAGCGTGATGCCGGTCGCCTGCTGACCCTCCAACACCCGAACCCCGTTACGTCGGGCGTTATCCAGGAGAATCTTGTCGAACTCCGGCCGCCACACCTGGTAAGAATGTGGATTGCTAACGTTTGTCTCGCTGAAATACCAGCTCCAGGGCTCCGTGTCGGTACCCCAAACCATGGTGGCGCCACGCTTGCGAACAAAACCGGCCTTCTCCACTTCATCCAGAACGCCCAAGTCTTGCAGTATCGGTATGCTGGCCGGCAACAACGATTCACCCACGTGGTCCCGTGGGAACCGATCGCGTTCCAGCAGCACGACGCTGTAACCGCGCCGGGCCAAAAGCGTGCTTACGCAGGAGCCGGCCGGGCCGCCGCCGATTACAATTATCGGGTCAGGATTTGCCAACTTGATCTATCCGTCAGCAAGGCTGCCCAACCAACCTGAGGTCATGCCGAGCAGTTACCGGTAGTACTGGGAAAACACCGGCTCTTCACGCGTGATTATCTCCAATACGCATGGTTGACCGGTAGCAGAAATGTCCTTGGCGCATTCGATAGCCGGGCCCACTTCCCCGGGGTCAGTGATTTTTTCGGCGTACGCACCCAATGACTCAGCCATCCTGGCGTACTCGCCGGTTACGTACTTGCTACCGTACCGTTCCACTGCCACCGGAATGTTTTTCTCGTAACCGCCCATCGCACCGTTGTTCACTATGACCGTGATGATGCCCAATTTTTCCCGCGCCGCGGTCTCAAAATCGGTGCCGGCCATCCCAACCGCTACGTCACCCATCAGATTCACACAGGTTTTATCGGGAAACGCTACCTTGGCTCCCAAGGCATAACCCAGTCCTGTTCCCAGCTGCGTGGAATTTCCCCATCCAATGTAACCTCTGGGAGTGGTGGCAGCGTAGAAAGGCACAATCTGATCCCGAGGATTACCGGAGTCATGCGTTACAATGCTGTTGGCTTTATCCAGCCTGGCATTTAGCTCATACACCACGCGATACGGGCTGATGGGCGTGTCGTTGCTGGAAAGACGGGGCATCCACTCTGCGATCCATGCCTGGCGTACTTGCCTGATTTCCGCCGCCACCGATTCGTCGCCGCGCCGACCTTCCGGCCCCAGCCTGTCTTTCACCTCTTCGATCAATTGACCCAGCACCAGCTTGGCATCGCCGACAATCATTTCTTCGAGGGCGTATTCACCATTCAGGTCTTTTTCATCAATGGTGGACTGAATAATGGTCTTGCCCACCGGTACCGGCGCCGACGCCAACGTCCGCTGAAAGCTGGTACCGATCCCGAACACCACGTCGCTTGCGGCCAGAAAATCGCCCACCATCCTGGTGCAGGTATTGCCCCCCGTTCCCAATGCCAGGGGATGGTTTTCCGGGAATGCGCTCTTCCCCAGCGTGGTGGTCATCGTGGGCGCGCTAAGCAGTTCAGCCAACTCTACCAGCTCCGGGGTCGCCTCCGAATACAGCACTCCCTGACCCGCGTACAGCACCGGACGGCGTGCTTTCACCAGAATCTCAGCGACGCGGGAAACGTCCCGCGGATCGCCGGCCGACCTTCGCTTTTCCTGCGCTTTGTAGTGGAACTGTTCCTCGGAAATCTCGCCGCTCAGCACGTCGTTGGGCATTTCCAGCAGCACGGGATACGGACGCCCCGTTCGCAGCTGAGTGTAGGCGCGTCGCATCATCTCGGGGATGCGTTCAGTGTAATTGACGTAGTCTGCCCACTTGGTAACGCCCTGATAATTACGAGAGGAATCAAAATCGGACGACATCCCGTGGCGTTTCGTGCCGGGATGTCCGGGAATCATCAGCAAAGGAGAAGAGTCAGCGTAGGCTTGTGCCACCCCGGAGAAGGCGTTTTCGATCCCTGGTCCACCCTGAACAATGCAAACGCCGTTTTTGTTGCCGTTGTTTACCCGGCTGTATGCGTCGGCCATATTCACTGCGGTACGCTCCATCCGGGAAATGATGGGCCGGATCCCGGCGGCGGCGCAGGCATCAATCAGAATATTGTTGGGAAAACAGAAAACTACATCCACGCTTTCCTGTCCCAGAATATTGGCGACAGCGGCTTTCCCGTCCATATTATGCCTCCGGAACCCCCGGTAAGTTAAAAAATCATTGCCGCGGCGGGGCGAAACCGGGGCATGCGTTCGCGTCGTAATTGATGATAACCGACGGCAATTAGTATGCGGCGATTAGTATATGGTAATCGGTATCCTTCGGCAAACTGGCGATTCTAAATACCGCCGAGAGCGTTTTTACAACGTCGCATATTTCTCCTTCGGGGCTGATTTTCCGATAAACAGTGGCATTCGCGGTTGCATTGCCTCTGTTATCAGGGTATTGTAGTGTCGGTACTAGGTTGCGCCGGCCCGCTCTCCTTGGGGTTCTTGTGGATTGCTGAGCTCGACGAATCGGACCAATCTCGCTCAGCGACATAGCCCGACCCACAGGAGGATCTAACGTGGCACTGTCAGACATTACCTTGGTGTGCAGCGATTGCGGCGCCGAGTTTCCTTTCACCGTGGGAGAACAGCAATTCTATGCTTCCCGCGGTTTTACCAACCAGCCCAAACGCTGCGTCTCATGTCGTAATTCCCGACGCGGGCAACCAAGGGATGGTGGTGGTTACGGTTCTCCCAGAGAGACTTTCTCTATTGTTTGCAGCAATTGCGGGGCAGACGCCACCGTGCCGTTCCGGCCGCGGGGTGACCGCCCGGTATACTGCAGCGACTGCTTCTCGCAGATGCGCAACTCCTAATTTTTCGCCCCCTGTGCCTCTCTACGGAGTCGCTTGGGCCATAGCTCTCTACTGACATCGCGATCGGGGTCCCTCCGGACGGCTAACAGCGCTGGCGGGGATCCCGATCGTCATTCATATCTGCCAGTCGACCGACTGTTCCCACCGCCCCATCGGGGCCATTGACAGCATCTACACGGCCGGGCCACTGCTACAATAGCGTAATCCGATCGCCAGGATCGATCCTGGAATGTGGAAATCCTGGGCCAAAGCATCCACGATGCCATTCAAAGACCTGCGCGAATACATCGCTTTTCTCGAACATCATGGAGATCTACGCCGCATCACCGCGCCGGTGGATCCTGAGTTGGAGATTACCGAAATTGCCCACCGGCTTCTGCGCGCCGATGGTCCGGCACTGTTATTCGAGAATGTCATCGGTTTTGACATGCCGGTCGCAGTTAACCTGTTTTGCTCCCACCGGCGAATGAATTGGGCCCTCGACATGGACAACGCCGACGCGCTGGCCAGTCGTCTGGAATCAATGATCGAAATGGTGCAGGGCGGCCCGCCATCCGGGATCGTGAACAAACTGCGTACCCTGGGAAGATTGATCCACGTCGGCAGCTTTCAGCCAAAAACCGTGAGACAAGCGCCCTGCCAGGAAGTGGTCCTCACCGGCGAGGACGTAAATCTCTATCAATTTCCTATCATCAAGTGCTGGCCCATGGACGCGGGGCCATACATAACCCTGCCGTTGGTGATCACCAAAGACCCAAATACAGGCGTTCAGAATTACGGTATCTACCGGATGCAGGTTTTTGACCAAAGCACAACCGGTATGCACTGGCAAACCCACAAGGTCGGCGCCAGGCACTACCGAGCCAGCGGGGATCGCGAAGACGACCGGTTGGAAGTGGCGGTAGCTCTGGGGGGAGACCCGGTTGCTATCTGGAGCGGATCCGCTCCTCTGCCACCAGACATCGACGAGATGTTGCTCGCCGGTTTCATACGGGATGAAGGCGTGGAGCTCGTTCCTGCCAAAACCGTGGATCTCATGGTACCGGCCCACGCCGAAATCATCCTGGAAGGCTACGTGATTCCGGGCGAAGAACGGCTGGAAGGACCCTTCGGCGACCATACCGGTTATTACTCACTGGCCGAACCTTACCCGGTATTCCACGTTACCACTATCACCAGACGCCACAGCCCAATCTACCCCACTACCTTCGTTGGCCGTCCACCCACTGAGGATTACTGGATGGGCAAGGTTACCGAGCGCGTGTTCCTGCCGCTGATCCGGCTAATCCTGCCCGAAGTCGTTGACATCAACATGCCGGCAGAGGGGATATTTCACAACCTCGTCCTGGTTTCGGTGAAGAAGGAATACCCCGGGCAGGCCAGAAAGGTGATTTACGGCCTGTGGGGGCTGGGGCTATTGAGTCTCGCCAAAGTCATCGTGTAGTCGACCATTTTGTGGACGTACAGAATCCGTCTGAGGTGGCCTGGCGCGTCGCCAACAACCTGAATCCGGGAACCGACCTGATCATCGCCGACGGGCCTATTGACGACCTGGACGTTGCATCTCCGACCCCTCGGTTCGGCAGCAAGATGGGCATCGACGCCACCCGCAAAGGACCTGATGAAGGGTACCACCGGGAATGGCCTCCTGACATCGAGATGAGCGAGGAGATTCAGCAGCGCGTGTCCCGGCGTTGGTCCGAGTTGGGCCTGGACGATCTCATCCCGTCTCACGGCATTTAGAGATCTCGGGCTTGCTCCGAGTAAACGGTGCGAATGACCAATGCGTGAGTCGACGACCCATCCGGTAACGGGCCGCGGGATAGCGGGCAAAATCCCCCACTATCTGAACGCGATTAACGTTTCCGAATCCCTGTTCGCCATGCCTTTTGGGTACATCGGCATGGTGTTGGCTTCCCATTATTCGGGCGGTTCCGGGTGGCCGGGCTGGCATTCCTTCATTTGGATTACGCTGGCTTTCCTGGGTGTGCGCACACTCGGAATGTCTGCAAACCGCATCATCAACGCCCGTGAAGACGCGAAAAATCCGCGTACGTCTTCCAGACACATTCCCACCGGATTGCTCAAACCCATAGAAGTAGGCGCCATGGCTACTGTGGGCGCCGTTATCTTCTTTGCCGCCGCGTGGCAGTTGAATACGCTCGCATTGATCCTCTCGCCGGTGGCGGCAGTGTACGTCGTGATTTACTCCTTTGCCAAATACTACACATGGCTCTGCAGTCTTATGTTGGGGTTCGCCCTCGCCATTGCGCCATCGGGGGCATGGATAGGTGTAACCGGGAGTTTGATTTGGGCGCCGGCCCTGCTCACCTTCGCGGTTGCCATGTGGGCCGGTGGATTCGAAACCATCTACGGAACCATGGATATCGAATTTGACCGGGCTAACCGCATACATTCGGTCTCTGCCCGTTTCGGGGTCCGGAACGCCATCCGCACCACCAGAGCCCTGCACACCGTGGCCGCGGCCGCCCTGCTGGCTCTGGGCATTTTGATGAATCTTAACGTGTTTTATTTCATCGGCTGGGCCGTGGCGGTGGTCCTGTTGGTGTACGAAAATAACCTGGTAAAGTCTGGCGAACCAGCCAACGTTGGCGCCGCGTTTGCGTTCAACAAATATATTTCTTCCCAATTGCTGCTCTTTACGATTCTCGCGGTCGTCGTTCCCATCCAGGGGTTCTTCCCATGGTGAATTCTAAATCCACGTTTGCCGGGCCAATCCCTCCGGTGGTGATCGGCCTGACCGGAGCCAGCGGAGCAATCATCGGCCGGGAAATGGTAGACACCCTCCTGAACATGGAAATCCCGGTCGTAGCGGTAGCGTCCAACGGCGCGCGCATGGTATGGCAGGAAGAATTGGATGAGCCGTTTAATCAGACAGTGGCCCGGTGGATCGAGAATTCTTACTTCAGACACTTCGCCATTGGTGATCTGTTTGCCCCAATCGCCAGCGGCACCATGCCCACGGCTGGTATGATCGTGGCGCCCGCCAGCATGAACTCGGTGGCATCCATCGCCCACGGCTTAACCCCCAACCTCCTGCTGCGCGCCGCTGATGTCACGCTCAAGGAAAACCGCCGTTTGGTGCTGATCCCGAGGGAAACACCCCTCCATGCCATCCATCTCGAAAACATGCTGAAACTAAGCCGTATGGGGGTTACGATCTTGCCTCCCGACCCACCGTTTTATCTAAAACCCCTGGACATTGCCGGTGTCGTCCGGTTCGTGGTTCAACGAGCGCTGGTCGCCTTGGGCATCAATCAGAGCCTTCCCGACGAATTGCAATATCACGACCGCGAACGGTAGGCCCTGCACTCGATCCGCTATGGGAATCATAAGTCTGTATATCGCCACCAGCCTTGACGGATACATCGCCGACTCAAACGGCGATGTCGATTGGTTGTTCCACGATGCTGACTATGGGTATACAGATTTTTATGACGGCGTAAATGCGTTGGTAATGGGAAGGCGCACCTACGATCAGGTACTGGGCTTCGGTGAGTGGCCGTGGGCCGGCAAGCGATCCTATGTTTTCTCCAACTCTCCCTTGCACGACGCCCCTCCGGATGCGGAAGCCGTGCGAACCGATGTCTCCAGTTTCGTGCGGGACTACGCCGGCACCCACGCCGGGACGGTCTGGTTGGTCGGCGGAGCGAATCTGGCGCAGCAATTTCAGGCCCTCGGCGCAATCGACGAATACGTACTCTCCGTCCATCCGATATTGCTGGGAAGCGGGATTCCCCTGTTCGGCCCGCTGGCGAACCCGTGTGAGTTGACCTCGACCCGTGTGATTCAATTCGACAGCGGGTTGGTCCAATTGCACTACCGACCCCGACAGGCCACGCCCATTACCGATCCCGAGTAACCCGTTGGCGCATCTTCACGGAGACGATAAACAGCGCTACGTAGCAGAGATGTTCGCCCGCATCTCGCCGCGCTACGACCTTATGAACTCCCTTATGACCGGAGGGTTGCACCACCGCTGGAAGCGGGCCACCGCACAATTGACTACTGCGAATCTGTCGGGTAACTCCCTGGACGTGGCAACCGGTACCGGCGACCTGGCGTTCGCATTGGCACGGTGCCCTGCCATCACATCAGTAGTGGGTGTAGACCTGTTGCCCGAGATGCTGCGAATCGCCAGCAGCAAGGCTTTCGGCATGGTTGCGAGCACGACCGAAATCAACTTCGTCATTGGCGACGCATTACGCCTGCCCTTCCCTGATGACACATTCGCTTGCGCCACCGCCGGGTTCAGCATGCGCAACATGGCCGACGTCCCCGCTGCGGTACAAGAAATGGCTCGAGTGGTGAAACCAGGTGGAAGGGTTACCACCCTGGAGCTAACGCCCATGCCGAAAGGAGTGCTTTCATCGATCGGGCGCCTATATTTCCATTATCTGGTGCCTTTTTTGGGACAGCTTATTTCCGGTGATCGCGCGGCATATACCTACCTTCCCAACAGCGTAGATTATTTCCTCACCGCCGACGGTCTGGCACAGGTTTTCAGTCAGTCGGGCCTCATCAACGTCGGCTATGTCCGGTTGGGATTTGGCGGTGTGGCATTGCACTACGGAGACAAACCGGTAGGTCATTCTCGTTCCGCCCATCACCATCCGGCCGGTTGCTGATGGTTGGCAGCCTAAGTTATACTTTAGAGCGTTTCCGGAGTGTTTCCCGCCGTTGCCGATGAGTTTGTAATGCCCGATATTTTCCTCAAATTGCAGCCCGTAGTCCGGCGCCATCAGGACATCGAGTCGGAGATGGCCCTTCCCGATGTAGCCACGGACTACGAACGACTGAAAGAATTGAACCAGGAACGTTCCGCAATGGAACAACTGGTTAATATCTATGGCCGTTACACCAAACTCAGCGAAGAGTCCGCCGATCTGCGGGCGCTTATCAGTGAAGGTGGCGACCACGAGCTGGTGGAGATGGCCCAACACGAACTCGCCGAGGTGGATGGTCGGCTTTCTGCATTGACCGAGGAGCTGAAATTCGCTCTTTTGCCGAAGGACTCCAACGACGAACGCAACGTTATTGTGGAGGTCCACGCCGCCGCGGGAGGGCAGGAAGCCTCACTTTTCGCTGGTGACCTTTACCGTATGTACCAACGCTACGCCAGCGAGCAGGGTTGGACCGTCGAGATCATGGACTCTAACCCATCAGACCTGGGCGGATTCAATCGCATCGCGTTCTCCGTGGATGGCAAAGATGCCTACAGTCACCTGAAATTCGAAGCCGGCGTTCACCGCGTCCAGCGGGTTCCTGAAACCGAAACGCAGGGACGACTTCACACTTCTACGGTCACGGTTGCAGTGTTGCCTCAGGCCGACGAAGTGGAACTCAACATCAAAGATGATGATCTGCGCATCGACATATTCCACGCCGGCGGCCACGGAGGCCAGAACGTCAACAAGGTGGCAACCGCCGTGCGCATCGTCCACGAACCATCCGGGCTGGTTGTCGTTTGCCAGGATGAACGCTCCCAATTCAAGAACAAGTCAAAAGCCATGACTATCTTGCGCAGCCGGATCTTCGCCGCCGAACAGGAGCGGCAACAGGCCGCTATCTTCACCAACAGGAAATCCCAGGTGGGAACGGGTGACCGCAGCGAGCGCATCCGAACGTACAACTTCCCTCAGGACCGCATCACCGACCACCGGCTTGGAACGTCCGTCCACGGTATGCAACGCATCATGGATGGTGGATTGCACGAAATGATCGATCAGCTAATTGCTCACGACCAGGCCCGTCGCCTGGAAGAAGCTAGCGCCTAATTCACGCACCGTTGTTCCAAGTCATCCCTACCGGGTAGCATCCATGCCTAACCTGCGGAGCATAATTCAGGACACTCATCGCGCACTGGAAGTTGTTGGCATCCCGGACGCCCGGCTCGAATCCGAAGTGATGGTCATGGACGTGATGCGTATGCCGCGCCAGTCCATCTTCGCCGAACAGGAAACCGAGGTTTCCGCACAGCAACAGGAGCAACTGGCGACCATTATCCAACGCCGCCTGACTCGGGAACCCCTGGCCTACATCCTGAATCACAGGGAGTTCTACGGCGTAAACCTGCTCGTAAACTCGGATGTGCTTATCCCCCGTCCGGAAACCGAAACGATGGTAGAACATGCACTGTTCATGGCGCTCATGGGTATGGAAAGTCGGGAACTGATCATCGCCGACGTAGGTACCGGTTCAGGAGCGATCGCTATCAATCTGGCCATACACCTGCCGGCCGCTCACATTTACGCCATCGATGCCTTCGACCCAACGCTGGACGTCGCCGCATACAACATTCGAATGCACAACGTCACTGACCGCGTAACGTTACTGAAAGGTGACCTGCTCGAACCCCTGCCCCAACCCGTAGATGTGGTGGTAGCGAATTTGCCCTACCTCCCCACGGCACGGATTCCAACGCTGCAACCCGAAGTCCAATGGGAACCCGTGGCAGCGCTGGACGGCGGCCCCGACGGTTTGGAACACATCCGCCGCCTGCTACAACAAGCCTCTGATAGCGAGCGATTGAAACCTCACGGCGTGATTCTTCTCGAGATGGACCCTGAACAGATGTCTGACGCGCAGACAGCAGCCAACCAGGCGTTTCCAGACGCAGAGGTTTCAATGGAGCCAGATTTATCCGGGCGGGACCGGGTACTGGTCGTCAATCTGGGCGGTACATCACCGGATTACTGACCCTGTCCCCGGCTCGTACGCCCCTGGTGGGTTGAAACCCCAAGGCTCAGGCTCGAGTGATGGCTCCGGTAAATTCGGTCAACCAGTCGCTGCCCAAATGAACGGTGGGTCGGCAAAGCTTGATGAAATCGCCCACGTCACCGATGTAAGGAGCCTCCCCACTGCAACGGCGCAGGTAATCGACCACATTTGCCACGTTAATGATGCCGTGGGCGTCCACAAACGGAGACCCGGCCGCTTCCGCTGCCTCAGTCAGCACCCATTTTCCATAAACCGGGTTATTGAACCAGGTTCCTTTCAGCACTCCATCAACATCAGGCGACCGGTCGCCCATTGCCAACTCAACGGCCTGCCACAGTTCACGCCTGCGCACCGGTTCATCACGCGTAACCAGAACATCGCGCATCACCTTGCTGGCCAACAACGTGATGTTGTCGTCAGCTCTGACGGCGTATCCGGGTTCAAGGTCAGATTGGTCTTCGAGCGAAGACGCGTCGAGGGAGGGAGGGACAACCATATCATCTCCTGGTGAGTCGAAATCTAATGCTAGTGATGTGTACGCCAAACCGCGACAACCACAATATCACGTTTCCGGATGATGTCCGTACTCTCGTTGTTAACGACTGCGAGTTACGGGCCTGGGATCAACGAACAATAAAAGCGGTTACGCGCTCGGCCCGATTTTTACAATCCACGCAACTCAAGAGTGCTAACCTGGTCATTTGGAAGATCCACAATCCGGATCGCGTGGTTGTTGGTATCTGCTATGTACAGTTGCGAAGGGCGTCCGTCGTCAAAGACGGCAAAGCTCAGGCCGCTCGGTTCACTAAACGTTGCCAGTTTTCCCGGCCCGTCGTGGAGCCCGGTGGCGCCAGAACCCAACACCGTCTGTACAGACCGCGTGAGTGGAACCAAACGCTTTATTTTGTGGTTGTAGGTGTCGGCAAAGAACAATTCGCCTTCATGCCACTCTATGCCGATGGGATGCTGCAGCCGCACATGATGCTCCACACCGTCGTGGTCTCCGAACGCAAAAAGATCGATCCCAACCAGAGTTGCTACGCGGCCGATCGCCGGGTCGATCCCGGCGCTGCGGATGCTGCTGGTTTCTGAGTCGACGAAATAAAGCAGTCCGTTGCCTACTGTGATACCGCTGGGTTGAGCCAAAGTAGCCGTGGCCAAAGGCCCGTTGTCGATGCTTTCAGCGCCCGTTCCGGCGTGTGGTTCAACGATCCCACTAGCTAACGACCAACGCCAGATCTGATGGATGCCCGCCATCGCAACATACAACACGCCTTCGTGGTGAGCCAGGTCCCAGGGACTGCTCAACGCCACCTGTCTGCCAGGCCCGGAGGCCCGCCGGTCGTTGCCCTGTTCACCGGTGCCGGCGACGGTGTCCACCGTCTCAGCGATCAAGTCGACGCGCCGGATGGCGTGGTTTTCGGTATCAGCCACATACAGCACATCGGAAACCAGCTCCATCCCCTGCGGATGATTGAACGCAGCCGCCGCATATCCACCGTCTATGAAATCCTCTGCGCCAGAACCCACCACCGCCCGAACGGTTCCGCTTAAATCGGAGATAACGATGCGATTGTGGTTCGTATCCGCGATGAACAGACGATTGCCCGGACCATCGGCCAAAACCTTGCCGGGAAAGGCCAGGGATGAGACCTCCACCGCGTCCGGTTTCAGATTCAGATTCGATCGATCGATCATTCCCTGTTCGTCGAACTCGGCAATCATCTTTCCCAACAGGGAGTCAAAGTCATCGTACGGAAGTTCTCCCTCGTGTTTGCCGATAACCTTCCCGGCGGGGTCCACAAACATCAACGTGGGCCAGGCCCGGCAGGCATACTGACGCCAAACCTTAAATTCGGCGTCGTTGATCACCGGGTGTTTCAGCTCATATCGCTGGGCGGCGCGTAGCACATTGTCGGCGTCCCTTTCATTGGGAAATTTGGCCGAATGGACCCCGATAACCACCAACTCCTCGGCGTATTTCTCTTCCAGTTTCCGCAACTGCGGAAATATGTGCATGCAGTTGACTCAACAATAGGTCCAGAAGTCGAGCACAACCAGTTTCCCACGCAGGTCAGCCATGCTGAGTGCGCGGTCCGTGTTGACCCATTCGACGTCGTCAGGAAATTCCGGCGCGTTTACCGTGCCTGCAAAAGATTGGGTGGCCATAACCAAGCCTCCATAGCGATAGAGCAGTATTGACGGGGTTAGCGCGGGGGCTGTGACTCAAATGCCAGTGTTGCGTGGCGCATGAATATTGAACCCACTGGCTCGCCCAACGGAGCGTTGGCCACCAGCACCGCAATAACGTGTTCCTGGCCCGGTTGGCCCGGTTCTTCAACCAGCACACGTTTCGGCGTGTTATTCCCAGTCACCACCCCGATGTTGCGGTCGATTTTTCCGTCAACGAAAACCTCGCCGTAGTTATCCACGTTGGTCTCAAAGAATACCCGGCATGTCGACACATCCTGTCCCTTTACCGCGTCAGGCATAATGAAACGCAACCGATACCACGCGAACGTAAATCCTACCGAATAACGTTTCTGAAAATCGGACCCGCTCTCCCACGAGGAATCGTCGTAGTCTGGCAATCTGGCCTCGCTGGCCAGCTTCTCTGCCACCAATCCCTGGTTGGGTTCGCCGGGCTCCAGGCCCAGCGCTACGCGCCAGCCATCCGACTTGATGATGGACAGGTCGGATTTCTGCTCTAAATCAAGCGCTACTCTCGGCATGGGGTTTCTCCTGTAATGGTTGTGATGATCGGGTCACGACCCCGCCCAGCGGCGTGGTGATCAGGCCTTCAGGTGCTGGCCGAAAAACTCCAGCGTCCGCGGCCAAGACCGGTCAGCGGCTTCTTTCTGGTAGCGGGGACCCGTAAAATCCATAAATGCGTGATCCGCTTCACGGTAAACGTAAAACTGATGCTCCTTGCCCAGGCGGTTCAGCTCTTCGTCGAAATTACGCATGTCGACTTGAGATGGGTTCTCGTCAACTTCACCAAAGTGGAACAGCATCGGGCAGTTGATATTGCCAGCCAGTTCAAACGGAGGCGTGGCGCCGTCTCCCCACGTAACCAGCAGGTTCCCGCCGTAGTAGGGCGCTACCGCTGCGAAATGCGGGTTCGATGCGGCTGCCAACCAGGCGACCCGACCACCCATGCAGAAGCCGGTCACACCGATGCGGTCGCCTCGTATCGCTTCGTGGTTACGGAGCCAATCCACCGTGGCGCCAATGTCGGCCACGATGTGGGGGTCACTGAGGACGTCCCACGGACGCGGTCGCGGGTCGCCATTCAACACGTCATCGGAAATCCGGTGGTACAAGTTTGGAGCTACCGCTGCGAATCCTTCCGCGGCCAATCGGTCGCAGATTGTTCGAATAAACTCGTCCACTCCGCCGCCGTGTTGCGCCACCACCACCGCGGGAAACGGAGCGGTGAAACCGGCGCTGCTACTCGGCACGCTGGCATACATATCCATCTCACTGCCGTCAACGGAAACTTTCTCCCAAAAACTGGCCATAACCATACCTCCATCGATATTTAATCAACCATAACTACATTCGTCATCGGAACGGGTTAACCCTTCAGGTGCCGGTCGAAAAATTCAACGGTTCGCGGCCACGAAGCTTCCGCGGCGGCCTGTTGGTAACGTCCGCCGGCGGGGTTCATGAAGGCATGGTCTGCCCCTGGGTACGAATGAAACTGATGCCCCTTGCCTAAACGGTCCAATTCCGCATCCAACGCTCGCATGTCATCGGGCGACGGGTTGACGTCGATCTCTCCGAAGTGGAACAGCATGGGGCAGTTGATGTTTTCCGCCAACTCAAATGGGGGTGTTCTCCGGTTCCCCAGGTGGTCATTAAATTGCCACCATAATAGGGTACCACGGCGGCAAAATGCGGATTGGTGGCGGCAGCCAGCCAGGCGATCCGACCGCCCATGCAGAACCCGGTCACGCCGATCCGGTCGCTTTGCACTGCATCGTGATTCCGCAGCCACTCCACGGCAGCGTTGACGTCAGCGATGATATCCGGATCACTGAGCAATGCGGCCGGTCGGGGACGGGGCTGTTCGTTGAGCAATGCTGGATCCGTGACCCGGTGATACAGGTTCGGCGCCACGGCAGCATAACCCTGAGCCGCCAATCGGTCGCAAATGTCCTGTATGAATGCGTCAACGCCGGTGGCGTGTTGAGCGACCAGCACGGCCGGGAATGGTGCGCTGAATCCAGCGCTGCTACTGGGCACGCTGGCGTACATGTCCATTTCTTGACCATTAACGCTGATAGTTTCCCAAAAACTTGCCATGAGTTTCTCCTGCAGGCACCCAGACGCCCCGGGCCTATCCCGTCTCGACAATCGATACAGACCCGGGCGATTCCTAGAACAATCCTTCGTCGCGGACCTGCGCCAATGTGGCCTCGAAAGCGGCTAAAGTCTGGTCAATATCCGCCTCGACGTGGGTAGCTGAAACCAGCAATGCATCGCGACCCATGATATCGATCCCGCGGTTTTGCAACCCTCGCTTTATCGCGGTCACTGCCGGCGTGGCCGCGGCTGACTTGATGCGGCGATTTACTTCCGGCCCAAACTCCCGATCAAAATCACCTTCCGCCAACGTATAGTGGATCATGGACGCGATGCCATACGCATGGCCGCTCACCTCCATGCGGGAGAAAACGTCGTTGAGTCCAGTTTTGAGCCTGGCAGCCATTGCATCAGCCCGTTGATTGATTGGTTCGGCTGCTATCAATTCCAGGCAGGTTGCCCCGGCTACTGCCGATAGAGGATTACCATTGAACGTGCCCGGATGATAGACCCTTTGGGTGTTGTCCCAGTCCGGATCGCCCCGTTGCGCGATCATGTCGACGATTTCTGACTTTCCTCCCACGGCTCCACCCGGCAACGCACCGGCAACGATCTTGGCCATGGTCGTCAAGTCCGGCGAAATTCCAAACCGCACTTGTGCTCCGCCCGGCGACGCTCGAAAGCCGGTAACTACCTCGTCGAATATAAGAACCACTCCATGACGATCGCAGAGATCCCTCAATCCCGACAGATATGCCACCACATCGAAAGGCAATTGCCCGTAATGAGCGCCGGTGGGTTCAAGGATTATCGCGGCTATGTCTGTATCTCGCTCCATCGCCTGCTGTACGGCATCCAGGGTCACCGGCGGGCACAACAACCATGCTGCCCCAGGATTCCACCGGAATTCCGGGAGCCGGGCGATCAGAGCCCGCCATCGCGTAGTCGTGCCAGCCATGGAAATGGTCTTGCAGCTTTATGACTTTGTTCCGGCCCGTGTACGCGCGTGCCAGTCGCATCGCCATCAGTGTGGCTTCGGTGCCGCTGCTGTGAAAACGCACCCGCTCGATTGCCGGCATTAACGCCATGATCGCCCTGGCCCACCGTAGCTCTTCGTCGGTGCACGCGCCAAGGTGAGTACCGCGGCGCATCTGCTCCACCACCGCGTCGGCGACCGCTGGATGAGAATGACCTAAAATTAATGCGCCGTGTCCCGATACATAGTCAATAAGCTCATTCCCGTCCACATCCCATTTTCTGGGACCCTCTCCGTGAGTTATGTATAGTGGGAATGGTTCGGCGTACCGGTTGTCGTGGGTCACACCGCCGGGGAATATCCCGACAGCTTCCCGGTATCGTTCCGCGGAGCCGGGGTGTTGACTAATGTACTGTTCCAGGATCGTGGGCATATTTACACTCCGACTGTTTCATTCTCACGATTGAACGGCGGGCACATTGTAGCACAGCGACTCGGTCGGAAATCTAATCGCTATCGGATGGATCGGGCGCTGCAGCAGTCAATACCGGTGGTTTCCTTATCAGCATGAAAAACACCCCGGCAATCATGGCGCAGATGGCTCCCGGCACGATTGCCCGGTCGTAGTTCCCGACCTGTCGTAGACCCATCCGGCGTACACCGGCGAAGCCACCAGGGCCCACGCGTACCCGAAAGTTATGTATCCTCGCAGCGTCGCGAATCTGCTACGACCAAAATATTCGCCCAACGCCGCCCACACAATCACGCCAGCCCCGTCCATCATCCCCTCGCAAACGACAAACCCCAAAACCAACGTGATTCCCACCGCCGTCTGCCAATCACCCAACCACAGGAACAGGTAACCGATCCCCTCCACGCTCAGACTGAGACCCAAAATTGCCTTCTTGGAAACTCGATCTCCCAAATATCCCATGACCAGCCGGGACACGAAGTTGATCGCAGACATGGCGCCGACGAGGTTGGCGGCCATCTGCGGAGTCATTCCCTTGTCCTCCACCAGGATGGGAAACAGACTCACCAATATGCCCAACGTGGCGGTCTGCCTCAATCCAGCGCCCAACAACAGGAACCAGTAAGCCTGGGTCCGTAACGCCTCCCGAACCGTGTAATCCCGGTACTCCCGCCGGGCAACCCCTCGGGTCCCGGCGGCTGCGGGAGGACGCGTTGCGCCATCCGGCAACAGTCCCATGTCCTCCGGCCGGTTACGGAACCAGTAACAGATCGGAAGCAGGATCACCAAATAAAACAATCCGGAGGTAACCAATCCCCATTGCAAATTCGTTTTGTCAATCAACAGATTCATCGTAGGGATGAGAGCCAATCCACCCAACGATGCAACGGCGGCAAGAGGATTGAAATCGACAGCGATCTCCGCCTGACGAACCACTGGTTTAAGCCAGCAAAACAGGCGTGCTGGAACGCCATGCTGTTACCCAGCGACACCAATCCCAGGTAAACCACGGCAAAGGCCCACAGGTTTGGCATCCAGAACGCCATCAGCAGGTAGCCAGCGACCGTAATCATCAGTGACGGCACCAATACTTTGCGGTTACCGAACTTGTCGATCAACCATCCCGCGAGCGGACCCTCCAGGCCTCCTTCCGCTCGTGCGACTGAAAACACCAGGTTCGTTTGTGCCTGCGTGATCATCAACTGATCCCGGATCGGCAAGACCAGCACTCCGAACCCCCGGAAGAATATGCCGCTGGCGAAAAAGCTCATCACCGAGGTGATTGCAACCATCCACCAACCGTAGTACATCCGCGGCTGTCGCTGGGCAGGCGCCGTCCTTTCACCAGTCACTGCCAAATCGATTCACCACACCAAAGCGCAAAAATTTGCCCCGGTCTGCATTCGCAGCCGGGGGCGACGCGCACCGGAAAACTATTGTAATCGTTGCCACTGTTCACAGCAATGACGGTTACATGCTCACGCGTACCCACTTTGTCATTGCCACCCTGTGCTCGATGCGGGGGTTGGCAATCTCGATGAGGCTGAACACACGTAGACGATCCTTCGACAAGCTCAGGACGAACGGCCCGGTGGGGCCGGCCGGGATTGCCACGTCGCTGTGCTCCTCGCAATGACAGAATTGAGCTGTGCTCCGCGCAGTGACAGATTTGAGCTGTGCTCCGCGCAGTGACAGATTAAAGCGGGTACGCGTGGGCGGTTACATGACGCTCTTCGATTTCATTCATGGGTTTGCACCGGGTACAATTCACAGTTGATACCCGTCCGTTGACAATTTGCTGGATTCACGATGGCGCAGCAATCGGCCCGCTACATTATTCACGCCGACCTGGACGCGTTCTACGCGGCAGTGGAACAGCTGGATCGCCCTGAGCTCCGCGGCAAGCCCGTGCTCGTGGGAGGCAGACCCGAAGGCCGCGGCGTGGTGGCCACAGCATCATACGAGGCCCGCGAATTTGGGGTGCACTCAGCAATGCCCATGGCAACTGCCATCCGGCAATGCCCCGACGGTATAGTAGTTCGACCTCGTTTCGACCGTTACCGGGAAATGTCGGGGCAGGTTATGCACATTTTTCGGTCAGTCACCCATATTGTTGAGCCTCTGTCGCTTGATGAAGCATTTCTCGACATAACCGCAGTCGCCGCTGCCGGCGGTTCCCCTCTCGCCATCGCTATCGATATAAAAAAGCGAGTATCCACGGAAACCGGCCTAAAGGTTTCCGTGGGATTAAGCAGTAGCAAGTGCGTTTCCAAGATCGCATCCGACCTGCAAAAACCAGATGGCCTTGTCGTTATCCCGGCAGGGCAAGAAGCCGAATTCTTGGCTCCGTTGCCCGTGGGCAAACTTTCCGGGATTGGTCCAAAATCCGTTGCGCGCATTCACGCTGACGGAGTGAGAACCATCGGCGACCTGGCGCAGATGCCCGACAGTTGGTTCGCCCACCGATTCGGAAAGCGCGGTCCAAGCATCCGCGACCACTCCCGCGGTATCGACCACGACCGCGTCCAACCGGTGCGCGAAAGAAAATCAATCAGCAGCGAGACCACTTTTCCCGAGGATCTCAACGATTCTAAGGACCTGTTCGCGGTTATCCGACGATTGTCTGAGCATGTTGCCAGCGCGTTGACCGACAAAGGATTACTCGGCAGGACGGTGACCGTGAAAATGCGGCTCTCCGATTTCACGACGTTTACCCGTCAGACCACGTTACCCAACCCCACCAGCGACGCCGCCACAATAGAATCTACAGCCCGAACCTTGCTGGATCGGGAACTGGCGCCAGAACGGGCATTCCGTCTGCTCGGAGTGGGAATCTCCGGGTTCACCGACCACGGAGAATCAAACCGGGAACGGCACGTGCCCGCTGATTCTCCGCACACTGTTGGGACCCTGTCGACGCCCGATTATCAATACCGTATGCCGTTACTGTTCGATGGTGGCCCGACGCAAACCGGAATATAGCATCTGGGCGACCAACGGAGACCCGGCCGGGTCTCGGAGCAGATCACGGTGATTCATTAACAGTGTTCCATTAGTTGGGCTAGCGGAAAAGGTCCTTGTCCGAATCCCTCACTATCGCTCTACTATCAGCATCGTCCATCCTTTCGATGGGATAACCTTTGATGATTGCCACGGGTACGCCGAGCAATTTGCCGGTAACCAGTTCCGCAGTGGCCGCGAGCTCGTCAGCCACCGCAATGGTCGTAGTGTGCAATTCGTTGCCGTGAGGATCAAACTCACCCACGTAGCTAACCACCGGATTGAAGCCGGCCACGCCAATCGACACGTTGACGGCTCCGTTCCGCCAGGGACGGCCAAATGTGTCAGACACCAACACGGCCACATCGACTCCAAGCCGCACCCGTATCGCATCCCTGATCTGTCTAGCCGAAGCATCAGGATCCACCGGTAGCAGACAAATCGCGTTAGCCCCGGGAATGTTGGAAGCATCGATTCCAGCGTTGGCGCAAATATAACCGTGATAGGTCTCGCTGATGATCACGCCCCTGTCCATACGAACGATTCGGCGACTTTCCCGCAAAATCATCTCAGTGTGGCGCGGGTCACGCCGGTGCCCTTCGGTGATAGCCACCGCCAATGGAGACGCCTCAACATCGTCGATGGTCATCACCCTCCCCTCAGCTTTGCTGACGATTTTCTGGGTCACCACCAACACGTCGCCATCTTCAATCGGTGTTCCTTGAGCAGCGCAGGCATCCATGATCTGCGTCGCCAGGTCGTCCCCGGCACGCACTTCAGGCAACCCTTCGATTCCGATGGCGCGAATTTCCGGCGGCATGGTGTCCTCCCCAACTTGGCAGTAGATTCTGACGTGGATCCCCTGTATCGTCAGTTTATCACTTGACCATTGTCTTCCCAACGGATCACGGTTGCCCCGCGTACTGTTGCCGGTACCCCGGGTAGCGATGCCGGAAAGGTAGTGCTAGAATGACACGTCGCCGAAATTGGCACGG